ATATATATATATATATATATATATATATATATATATATTGGCCTTATAGCAATGCAGGTATAGCCTACATTTTTTTTTTTGTTTATATATTTGTTTGCTATTTCAAAAAATATAAAGTTTTTTGTCATAGTTTCTATTATTGGCTTAGGTTATTAAATAAAATTTGTTGATCTTTTATTTCCCTTTTGTTTTAAAGTAACATGCTGCTTTTTAATATGGCAGTTTTACGTTTTTATAGGTCATCCATTTTGTTTCATGCACTCTTGTTGATTTCGTAACTTCCCAAGTATCTACACGGCGTGAGCCAAATTGATTCTTGTGAGGAGACCCCCATCAACCTCTGTACATAAATGAAGATGTCGTCTGATTTACAACATGGGTATGGAACCCCTCTTACTCTTAAATGCTAATGGTACATGTCCATTGTTTCGTAATCTTGTTTTAGCCGTTTCAACCAGTAAGAGTAAGACAATCCTATACACAGACAGAAGAGAAGCTGAACAGCCCTTAAGTCCATCCGTTTGGCTTGCTCTCTCTCTTTTAAAGAGTGAAAGTCCAAGTACCAGAGTCCGAGTACCAGAGTGGCACCCTCTTGTGGCACGAGCATGAAACGCACCCTCCCCGAGGATCCTCTAAAACTGATACCACTTCTTGTCTTTGCATTTCAGCATCAGCTGTGGAGGGCGAAAGTGAAAACAAAGAGATTGAATAAGCAAATTAAGATTTATTTGTATTTATATTTCTGTTTTCTCATTCTCTCGCTCTCCTACATACCTCGTGAGCGTGTTTAGAGAAGGTGTCGGCACTGGTCATCATCAGCGCGAGTAATATTTTTGAGCACCAAATCAACATATTAGATTGATTTCTATAGGATCATATGAGACTGAAGACTGGGGTAATGGCTGCTGAAAAGTCAGTTTTGCCATCACAGAAATAAATTACATTCTAAAATACATGAAAATAGTGAACAGGTATTTTAAATTGTAACAATACATAACAATTATATAGATTTGACTGTATTTACTGTATGTAATAAATGCAGCCTAGGTGACACAAAAGATTTCTTTCAAAACTCTCGCTCTCCTACATACCTCGTGAGCGTGTTTAGAGAAGGTGTCGGCACTGGTCATCATCAGCGCGGTCCTCTCCTCCAGCTCCCCCAGCCTCTGTCCTCTCTCGTCCAGGGCAATGCGAGCTCGGGCCAGTTCTCCCACCACCCCGCCTGCTGCCGCCTTCATGCCCTCCATTCCACCCTGTCCTGGGATGTGCTGTGCCAGGCTGCGGGACGCCTTACCCGCTGCTGCCTCACCAACTACAGAGCAGGAGAGAGAGGGAAACAAGACAGCGTTGTTATTGTTAACTAAAACTAAAGTAATTAAAAAGTAATTAAACTAATTCATTAAAAGGGAATCTGAAAATATTAAAATAAGAGCTAATTCAAAATATTAAGACATTTTATAATATTATATAAATAATACAAAAATAACACTAAACAAGGGAAAAAGAGAGAAATATTCTAGATTTTCAGATTAAAACTGATTTAAAGATTTTTCAAATTAAAACGGTCATTTTATATGTCAATCAGTGTCCTCATGTCTTAGTGGGCAGTTCTGAACCTGTGAGAATATGCTTGTACACGCACACACGGAGGAGTGATAAATAACTACACTCACACAACTCCTCTCGGTCGAAGGTTTGGGCGTTGCCGCCAAAAAAGCCCTTGAGAAAGCCACGGTTCTGAGCCTCAGGGGTCTCGATGGGTGTAAAGAGCTCCCCTAACATCTCCTGCAATTAATGAAGAATAAAAATCCGATCAAATATTGGAATGAAAGAGACAGCAGGACAGTCGATTCAAAACTCCACCAGCAGATGTCAGTATAGTTCCACATTTCACAATGTAATGTAAAATGGAAAGTTTTGACAAGACAAAACCACTTTCTTGCTCTTGTGTGTTTGACAGAGACAGTTAAAAAGAAAAAGGCTATGTTTGGAATTAAATACTATACAGTATGCATTAAATATGGTATACATTTAAAAATGGTATGTGAAACAGTGCACTATGCATTAATAATAATTCAAACAGTAGTATGCCACATTGCCGTGTAGAAGATAGCAAGTAGCCTTCAAAAGTTTTATAATTATTGTTATTTTTTTTATTTGAATTCAATTTAGATTATTTTAATAAAATAATGTGGCAAAAAAATTCTAACTGGAAACAAATGATTAAGTCAGTGACATTGCATTGTGGAATACATACACTAACATTCAAATATTTGGGGACTGTAAGATTTTTTTTTAAAGAAAGAAATAATTTAATACTTTTATTTATCCACATATTAAAATGATCAAAAGTGGAAGTAAAAAAATGTATAATTTCAAATAAATGCTGCTCTTTTGAACTTTATATTCATCAAAGTATCCTGCAAAATGTATCACAGTTTATACAAAAATATTAAGCAGCACAGCTGTTTTCAATTTTGATAATAGTCAGTAATATTTTTGAGCACCAAATCAACATATTAGATTGATTTCTATAGGATCATATGAGACTGAAGACTGGGGTAATGGCTGCTGAAAAGTCAGTTTTGCCATCACAGAAACAAATTACATTAAAATAGTAAACAGGTATATTAAATTGTAATAATACATCACAATATTACATATTTTACTGTATTTTCAATGTAATAAATGCAGCGGAGGTGAGCACAAGAGAATTGAAACACTGAAAAAAATGAAAAAATTCTACCAACCCCAAACTTTTGAACAGTGACACGTTTCAGTTCGGATGCATACAAAAAAAATTAGCATACTGTGCACATGGTACATACTGCATACTGCAAAAATAGAATGAATAGTATGGCATTATGCTATTCCCATCCTAACCAGACAGAGAGGGAACGACAGAGGGAGGGAAAGGACAGAATGACAACCGGTGTGGAAGAAATTACAGCCGAGATGCAGCAGGGCTCAGCTCAGCAGAGCTCAAAGCATCCATGACAAGCATGACATTTCACTTCAATAACCACCATCAGCATGCACACACACACACACACACACCACACACACAACTGTCCTCCTGAACACACACAAAGGCACAGCCACCTGTAGGTTGTCACACATCTCCTGGCTGTAAGTGATTCTCTGTATCTCTGTGGGGGAGCATAGATACAGCGCCTGCCCTCCGTTGGTGAAGCAGAATGTTCTAGCAATGCGCATGTCCGTTAGCGGCAGGTAGCTGACGTCTAGCAGAGGCCGTAAACTGGGAAGGCTTTAAAACATATACACATATAAGATAACAGGCTTAGCAACTGCATTCCAATATCCTTTGTATCGGAAATGACAGTGAAAATATTATACCGCACTGAAGGCAGGATTTTGTATGAAACCAACAAAAGCACAGTGCAGCCCTTCTGACTAGAGGTTTAGTGTTTATTGAAGGACTGAACTGGTTTCTGTAATCTGGATTAAACTAAAAAATCGATACCAAAAATGTTTTGAGCTGGTATTAAAGGAACGTTCCAGGCTCAATATAAGTTAATCTCTATTGACAGAACCTGTCAAATTCTGTCGATTACCACAGATACCTCAGTTTACTCATCAAGAAAATGTGTTCTGGAGGATTTAAAAGCTCATATCTAATGCTAATGCACTTATATTATTCTGTACAGAAATGAATTAGAACATTATCGCTGTAAATAGATTTTAGAAACAGACCCTGTTCCAGGGTTTACTGGTTTTACATGGCCATAACAGGGATGAAAACTTCGATATAATAATAATAATTATTATTATTATTTATATATATATACTGTATATATATATATATATATAATATTTAATTAATTCTATATTTCCCCCCTTTCATGCCACAAAGACGATCAATAGAGCTTAAGTTCTGTTCAGTTAATAATTCTGTTAATTACCACAGACAGACATTTTTACCTGTCCCTCAGTTTGTTAAATCAATAATAATAATAATAATAATATAGTTTTTAATTTATTATGTTCCTGTATTATTTTTTAATTACATTCAGTTTAATTACATTCATAATAATAATTATCATTATTTCTGTTTTAATGTCAGTAAATGATCACCAGTTTAGATGTTAGAAATTTAAATTGTAGTTTTTCCATTAGGGCCTAGAACCAACAACCTTCTGTTCACCAGCCCTGAGCTCTACTCACTACACCATAGTTTCCCAATTGAAACAACAACAACAAAATGTTAATGCAAACCTCAAAGTCATTATGTTTCCATTGGCACAGAAGCAGGCCAGACAAACGCTGTTACAAACCGACACCACGTCAGCCCGCAGCACGAAGGACGACTCAGTGATGTTATGCACATATAGACAGGCCTGGGAGGGCATGAAGAAGACCTTGGCCTGCCTCTCCGAACACACTACAGCTAAGTGACCATCTCCACTGGCCTCCTGAGAAGATGAGGGCGAGAAGTTGACCAGTTTCCGCTTCCGGGGTCGATCTGAGTCATCTGGGGCATGTTGGTCCCGCCACACCTCGTAGGGACTGTTGATAAGAGCGCCCCCACAGTCCAGGAAACCAAACCGCAGAACAGAGCCCTTCAGCATTAACACTGTGCCTGAGAGGGAAAACCAGAGAAAGAACAAAAGCATGAGGATAGGAGCATTGCATTTATGGGCATTCAAGAATTAGAAATGGAGGAAATCAAGAGATACCAGTGGGGGCCACAGTAACAGGGTCTTCCTGGCGTTCCTGCTCGTCCGTAGGAACGGACATTGGTATGATGAGCACCAGGCCCAGACTTGTGCCCACCCACAAGCATGGCGTAGGCAGGGTGTCTGACTTACGCCCATACGACTCTGCAAACTGCAGGGTGGTTACAGCCTCTTTAGTCTCCCTGTCTATGCTGGAAACGCTAGAACTCCGGGAACGGCTGAATGAGTTTTCTCGACTCTCTGAGAAAGAATGGAGAAGGGGAGAGAGAAAGAGAGAGAAAGAGAGGGTGGGGGAGAAGAGAAATGTCAGGAAAGATGGAAGACAGATGGATGAGTAGTAAAAGATAAGGAATATCAAAGAGTGAAAAGATAAAAGAAAAATATGGGAGAAGAATCCTTATGCTGTTAAAAAGTGGAATGACTGAAAGTGGAGTCACTCCATATGTGCGTTCACAATTACATTTAAACCACATCAACCAGAATCCAAGTTATAAAGTGATACAGATGTGCAATTGCAAACACAACTCTCTATTGTTTTTTTAGATTTGTTATTGACAAAGTAAAACAATAAATAATGTACATGCAGGACAGGGTTCACATATCTATTGTGAGTTAAAACATTGAAATTCACTTGTGCACATGATCAGACATGTCACAGATTTCATTCACATACACAGAGGACACATAGAACACACTCTCACAACTTGAAACCCATTCGGTGTCTTTACCGTCCTTTTGACCTTGAATTGTTTCCAGGTTCATATCCACTGCACACAGTATTCATATAGCCAGGCCCACACATAAAAATGTTTCTGGACTGATTTACGCTTCATTCAATTATTTAAACTCTCTCTCTCCCTTAATCTGAAGCATGTCACTGAAAAACCCAGGCAAAAAAAGGCAATATTTTTTTTTTTTTGCAATACAAGTTATATTATGATAATATATGATTATTTGTTATTGTCATATCTTATTTTACATTCAGTATCTTGAAAAGCAGCAAAAATTCTATATTAGAATTTGAGTAGCATTTTCCATTGAGAATCGTGTTCATCCTGCTGATCAAAAGTGTACTGCATTCTCATAACATAAACCCATGTTCTGACATTATGACAAATGTCTGTTTTCTTATAATGGGTATGTGTATGTAGTGATGTGAAGAGAATTCAAAATGTTTGTAGGTATGTCAAAAATATAAAAAAAACTGTGTTTCTCTAAGGTATGAGCTACAATATTTTATAATTATTTATAATGTATTATTACTTAAATACTAAACTTCTGCATCTGGGTCATTCTCAGGAAACAGTGTTGTTTGTGTGCTATATGTGTTCCCATGATTTTCAACTACAAGAGTAAATTAACATGGTACTGCACTCAGTAACATTATATAATAGATGTATATCTTTATTGTGTTGAGTATGTATAAATAAATAAATGTTTTCCATTGTACTTTCCTTATGTTCCCCTTTGTTCTGCATGCCTCAACAGTTCAGCTCTGTTATAAGAAAAAAAATGATAGTGATAAATTTTAACGAAAAAAAATAACTAACTAAAAAACTAACTGTATATAATGTGCTAGCTAAGACCATTTTTATATTAATTGCATTTCCCACATTTAGCCTCAAAACATCTTGAAAGGTCAGCAAAAAACGTTTTTCAAATTGTAAGACATTGTAAGAAAACATAAATGATTTGAAATAATGTAGCATTTTACACTTCTGTTCAAATATTTGGGGTTAGTAAGTTTTTTTTTTTAAAGAAATTAATACTTTTACTAATTACAGATTATTAAATTGATCAAATGTGAAAGTGTATTTCAAATAAATCAGCATATTAGAGTGATTTCAGAAGATCATGCGACACTGAAGACTGGAGTAATGGCTTCTGAAAATTCAGTTTTGCCATCACAGGAATAAATAACATTTTTAAATATTTCACAATGGAAAATGGTTATTTGAAGTTGTAGTATTTTACACAATATGACAGATATTATTGTATTTTATTTTTGATCAAATAAATGCAGCCATGACATAAGAGGCTCTTACCGACCCCAAACTTTGAATCTGTAGTATATTTAGGATTTCGGTTAATTATATAAACTTTGAATGAATAAATGAACAAGCAAACAAATTAATTTATTTTCTGGCACAAACAACATTGTTTCTTGAGAATGACTCTCCTATGGCCCTGTGAAGGTCCTCTTTCTCCCTATTATCTGACACATGTCCATGAAACATAAAACCAGCATCATGGTCATGACAGCACACCTTACTATGTTCTGTGTACACTATCCCCCAGTTTGAACCCTTACCATTAAAGAATGACATTTGTTTTTAGAATGACCTCACAGCATTCACCTCTACATTGATGATTGATAATACTGACAGAATCATTAGATCTCCCTTAGACATTGACATACAGAAAGTGTTTTCCTGATACAGGTTAAGCCTCGCCTTGGACAGATCACTTTTTGTCACATATAGTCCAGGACTAGATTTAATCTGTGTCTCGGAAATGTCACAGTGCGTGATGGACAGATGTCTACAAGCCAACAACACTGCAGATCGACAGAGGCTGGTGTGAAACACAAAGCAGACATCATTGTAATGTTCAGCTGCTAGCAACTATGGTGTAAATTCAAACCTGAAGACGAAGAGCAAGGTGAAGACTCTGAACATCATTGAACGTGACGAGAGAGGGGTTCTGACCAAGCAACTATGAGCGACACGACGGGACGGAGTGAGACGTGACGCTACAGGGTGAGTGGTCCTTGTGACCCTCAAAAAGACCCTCCTTACCTCTCTCGCTCCAGGAGTAGGTGGTGATGTGATGCTCATCATGAGAGTACATACTGACTCCGTGTAACTGCTGCAGCATGGCTCGTCGGGACGGATATCCTATCCATTGAACGCACACACACACACACGACACCCCAACGGCCACAATCACACACACATAAATACAATGATCCACGTCCACGGCATACGAAATGACACATACATAGACACAAATATCAGACGTGTACCAAAACACGAAAAAGACATGACCAGAACATCACGGTGTACAGAGAGTGACAGAAAAAGATAAAGAGAAAACAGATAAACCAATATGCAAGAAAGAAAGAAAGAAAGAAAGAAAGGGTCCTGACAGGTTGATATTTTTTTTTCTAATACCTGCCCACAACATTTCAGTAGATTCGATAGAAAAAAACTGAAAAACGCTCTGACAGAATGAAATCCTTTCTTGGCTGTGATAGTTTTTTCAAGGATACTTTGCTTATAGCTGTGTGTGTTTGTGATCACAATAATTAATGGGACAAGTCACTCAAAAATGAAATTTCTGTCATCATTTCTGTAATCATTTACTCACCCTCATGTCAGTCCAAACCTGTAATACTGGCTTCAAAATATTCAAAAACTTGTAATATACCAGAACATCACGGTGTACAGAGAGTGACAGAAAAAGATAAAGAGAAAACAGATAAACCAATATGCAAGAAAGAAAGAAAGAAAGAAAGAAAGGGTCCTGACAGGTTGATATTTTTTTTTCTAATACCTGCCCACAACATTTCAGTAGATTCGATAGAAAAAAACTGAAAAACGCTCTGACAGAATGAAATCCTTTCTTGGCTGTGATAGTTTTTTCAAGGATACTTTGCTTATAGCTGTGTGTGTTTGTGATCACAATAATTAATGGGACAAGTCACTCAAAAATGAAATTTCTGTCATCATTTACTCACCCTCATGTCAGTCCAAACCTATAATACTGGCTTCAAAATATTCAAAAACTTGTAATATAGTGTATTAGTGATGGGAAGATCAGATCATTTTCCTGACTGGGATCTTTGAATCTTGTTCAGCAAAATGAACAAATCTTTATTCAAGTAATTTCATTAATTTGAGCAGAGTTATTAAAAAGAATTAACATGTTACATTTCCAGTAGCCAAATTTCTCCAACACATCTACTTATGTCAACTTTGACCATTCCAAATGAGAAAATCATAATACCAGCCAAAGACAGATTATGAGAAATGATTAATGATTAAATATCTACTCAACTGTGTCTTCTTGTCGGAGTTGTGTCCTCCAGCCTGTTGCCTTAAAGCAGAACCTAAAATATCATTGTAGTAACCCATGGAATCATTTCTGTTTCCTTTACATTGCCTATGCAGCTTTCATGTGACAAAATAATGATCGACTAGGACCAGAAGACTCGAGAGGTTAACTAATCATTTCTGTTTTCCATACAGGAAATTATTAGTTCACCTTCTGAGTCATGAACGACAGGATGTTGCACATGCGTGGTCACAAAAACACCGAACAAATCACTCTCTGAGACAACTCGCTATTCCAATGTCATTTACTGTAAAAGAGTCTTTGAAAATGAATGAATAACTCATGAGAGACCCATCACTTTTGCATACAATATGATATGTATGTATACTTCTACAGTATGGAGATCTGTTGACTTTTTTGGACATTTCTATTCACTATGTGCTTTCACACAGTTTACAGCAGCATGCACATTCTTCAAAATATCCTCTTTTATGTTCCACAGAAGATACAAAGTCTAATGGGTTTGGAATGACATGAAGGTGAGTAAATAATGACAGAATTTTCATTTTTTGGGTAACTACCCCATTAACACTGACCAAGACTGGTTACTGATGTCTCACAGCATTCATTTCCCAAACAACATAACACAAAGCAAACAGAACACAAACCCACAAATCCAATCTCACACAGAGCAAAATGGTCACACACAAAATCACATATAACTTTGTGGAAAGACACACAAATCGACCTATTCTACTGACGGCTCCTGTATCTGCGGGGATTGTGAATATAATTAGTCGTATCCATCCTGTTAGCCTATTAGTGTGAATATTTCATGATAGAGATGGGTGACAGAATAGATCTGCTCGCTCGTTCTCGCTCCCTCTGGGACTCTTTTGCTGAGGTCACTGACTGTCAATCACTGCAGGGAAACCAAATAACACACCTGTTATTAGAAACACCAACAACGCCCTCTCTCTGTGGGACAGGCAAACGATTGTGGAAATAAGTTTTTTTTTTTTTTGTCTGATGAATTCCTCTGTGTTTATAGTGTGTGTATATACGCATAAATGTTGCATAGACTTATAGACTTTACTCAGCACCATATTTAATTTCTGACAGCAATGAAAACAAGGCTGTGAATTATAGAAGTAAAGTGTATTCATTGGATCGTACTGTTGTTTACCAGCTTACCAACTGTTCAGCTGACAACACATCTTTCAAAAAGTCTTCCAGTAGACAAAAACTCCATAAAACTGTTTGAAAGTTTTGGGTTATGAAAATTACATGTAATCTAGGACCTTTATACAAAGCATGCCATTGTAAACACTGTAGTCTATCTCTCACTAGTCTAACTTGTTTTTACCCATGTAAAATTTAATGTGGTCTTAACTTTTTTTTAACAAATTATGTGTCAACAAATGATTCATGTTAAATCAAATCAACAAAGTGTGTGATTGAATGATTAACTCACAAAAAGATGCCCACTAATCGCCACAAACTTCCTTTATGATGTAACTTGCAGAAAAGGCTCTAAATGAATCGTTTTGGTAAAAGGGATGTGACTCAGTAGATTTTAATGGGATAATGGGATGTCAAGGACACAATGGAATGATTTAAAGTCTTATTTACTACCATTTATTCAATGACTTGCAACACATTTCTGTAACTGTCCTTATTTTCTAACATTTTGCTTACATCAAGTTTGTGTGTGTGTGTGTGTCTTTCCACCCTTAATGCTGTTTATATAAGACTATGTATCCCAACTTCCCGCAGCTCTCTCTTCCTGTAGCGTGTCTCATTAGTGACGGCCTGGCTCTCCTCGCTGCTAATTGACCTTTAATTATCCCAGCGACCCCACTGCGGCACCACATGCCTGTTACCGTAGCGATAGGGACGCACGCCATGCGTTGAGACCAAAGAAGCGGTAGGCAGTCCTCTAACGGACAATAACACTTTTCCAAGTGGGGAGAAAAATAAATTAGCCATGTCTATATCTAGACAGACATGGATTCATTTGAATATCGCAACATTATTCAATTAAAAAATTTCAAGCGGAGTCTGTGCAGAAGAGATTCAAAGATGAATATTGAGATTTCAATACTGTTAGAATGTCCAGGTGGAAATAAAAAGAAAGAAAAGGCGGTGACGGGAAGGTATTTTTACTAGATTGTGAGCAATCACATAATTTTTTCTCCAAAATTAAATCAAATATAGAATATTAGGTTAAAAAGGTAATTCTGGGAACCATCCAGCCACCGTGAAAACCTTATGAACTCTGTGACACTATGTGTACACTGCTTTTCAACTTGGGCTGGTTGTCCTGGTTGGCGTCCTTCACGTAAACAGGATTATGGACACAGATGACGGCACAGGAGGAGACACTGCCTATCGCTGCGATTGGATTAGTTAATGACAGGAAGTCGGTGCCCAAGCGAGGATATGATCTAAGTGATGTGTTACCGCTGTACAGACCATGCTAATATGAACACGACATCTGCTATAGGGACATATATGACTGACAAGGACAAAGAATTGACATGAGATAAAGACATACAGAAGTCACGTTTGCCTGTGTGCAAGCCCACGATAACAGTTAAAGGAGTCATATCGCATATATATAATAGACCTAAATATAATAATAATAATAATATTTTTTTATCCTGAGGTTCAAGGATATGAAGAGCAGCAGGAAGAGAAAGATGAGAAAGAGATACATTTGTTTTTTCAATATATGACCCCTTTAAATCAGGGCTCTTGTAACACACACTCCAACATTTAAACATGGAGGTGATAAGAACAAACATTTGAACATACACACATATTCTGATTATGTGTTTTGTAGAAACGTGTCGTGTTGATTGGATTGTCCATGTATTTCATTTTGGTAAATTCCCTTCTAGTGATCCAGAGGAAACGGCTGCAATTTCAATTCACATTAAGAAAGACGCTCGAAGAGAAATAAGTCCGCAACCATAATCGTTGTGTAAACTCCAACCTAAGCTTGCTCAGAGACTGCCTACATTAATTTTTTCATTCACATCATCAACCCACCTGTCAAACTACTATGTGTAGAGGTAGTAATAAAAAGCATTAAAAACAGAAAGTATAATTAGGCTCACAGCAGTGTCTGCCTCAGCCTCCATGTTTGAAGCACAAATACGGTCTCAAACATAAAAGGGACAGAAGATCCCCAAAGCTTGAAAAGCAGAGTCGTTTTTGTGAGTCACACTTTGAAAGGTTTGTGCCGTTTCTTTCTTTCTTCTCTTAGTTTTACTTTTGATGACTTTTGAAAGGCTGGTTAATAAAAATAATACACTTACTTCATCAAAATGTATCCCATTCATCCAAATACTGACTTTAATCAGGATAAATGGGATTTAAATTTAATTAAAGTTTATAACACAAACCTATTATGAGATCACAAAAACGTTCCACCAAAATGTCAGCAAAAATGCAGTATGGTAATTGGTGCATAAGATACTTTGTTAACCCTTTTCCACCAACATGGTGCCAGTGCCAGAGCCCAATCTAGTCCCATTCCGATACAAATAAATGGACATAAATTGTCATTCAAAACCTATATGACTTTTTTCCCTTTGAAACACAAAAGGCGATTTTAGGAAGAATTACCTAAAGATGTGACATAATTCACATACTGTGCTTGTGAGGTTAAGTTACCTTTTAAGAATGTTAAGTTGTGTGTTGAGGTGGTTTCCCTTTTAAGAGATTTATGCTTGCATTTTGGTTGGAGTGCATTAAGGTGATTCGGCCGGTTCACAGCTTTTCATCCAATTTCTACAGTGACTGTGTTCATTTAAACGCACAGACACCTACATGTAGTGACCCCGACACGCAAACTGTGTCTCTGCCTGGGCAAACCACACTGCAGCTTAGTGTTACTAAAACTCTGGTAACTTGAGAGTGACTGCATTGGCCATCATCTAGTCAAATCACAACAACAAATAACTCTGACATTCAAGAGCATTAGGGTCACCACATGTAGGTGTCAGTGCGTTTAAATGAACACAGGCAACATTGAAATTGGATTCACAAAGCCGTGAACCAGCTGAACCATTTTGATGCAGTTCAACTAAAACACAAGCATAAATCTCTTAAAGGGGAAACCCCCTCAACACACAACTTACTGTAACATTCTTAAAGGGAAACAAGCACAGTATGTGCATTCTGTCACATATTGAGTGTATGCCACCATACTAGTGACTTTTATTGCATGGAAAAAAAGATGCAATGGAATTTAATTGTGACTGACTTGTCAGTATCAATGATTTTGCCTAGACTCACCTTTAAAGGGTTAGTTCACCCAAAAATGAAAATTAGCCCATGAATTACTCACCCTCAAGCCATCCTAGGCGTATATGACTTCCTTCTTTCAGATGAATCCAATCGGAGTTATATAAAAATTGTCTTTGATCTTCCAAGCTGTTTAATGGCAGTCAGCGGTTGTTGCAGTTCTTCAGTCCAAAAGAAGTGAAATAAAGCACATCCATTCATAATAAAAGGGCCTCACACGGCTCCGGGGGGTGAACAAAGTCCACCTGTAGCGAATTGATGCATTTTTGTAAGAAAAATAACCATATTTAAAACGTAATAATCAATTTAATCTAGCTTGCACTCACTGTTGTACACGGAGGCAAGTACGGGCGGATGACGTAGGACGGCTTGAGGGTGAGTAAATAATGGGCTAATTTTCATTTTTGGGTGAACTATCCCTTTAAGGTTCCACAGAGGGAATTTACATGGGTTTGGAACAACATGAGGGTAAGTAAATGATCACAGAATTTTAAATTTTGAGGGTACTATTCCTTTAAGACTATCCCTGTAAAAAAATACAAACAAACAAAAAAACATGATGCACCCTATTTGTTTGTGGGCAGTTATAGCATTGTTCGGCTCTCAAATGCAGCTCTGGCGGTGCTGGAAGAGATCCACAGGTCCCCTGGCTGAGCACCGGCTAAGTGGAAAAGGGATATGCTTCCTGTGTGGCATGATAGGGCTTTAGTAATCATCAATCTTTCCAAAAGTGTGGAAAACAAAACAATAAAACCAAAGAAAATGCAGTGAAATCAAAGGATCAGAAAACACAGCAATAAAACCTCATACCCACCTCCTTGTATCCCTTGATGAGAGTTAAACATGCATAAGTGGGATGGGACAGTGGGGGAATACAAGAAAAAAAAGGGTAAATGGATTAAAGGGATAAAGGAGCTGGAGAACAAGCACACACCTTCGGTGAGGGAGGACACAGGCAAAGAGACCTCCATGCATGCGGCGGACTGGGCCTTGCGGAAGGGCGGTCGGCCAGGCCCCCTGCGGGCGAGGCGTGGCCCTTCAGGTCCCCCCGGGACTCTGGCCCTCCCAGTCAGACAGGGCTGGGAGGTGGGGCTAGTGCAATGTCCATTCACATGATCTGTAACAACGGGCATAGCATTAGCAAGAAACCCAAATGAGATTAGAAATAGAAGAGTGTGTGTGAGAGAAAGAGAGATGAAGAGGGCAGTGGGGATGAAAACAATGCAGCCGCAAAGGAGAGAGAAGCCTTAACAGTAAGAGGAAGCAGTCAACTAATACCAACTTTAATCAGCCAAAAATTTTTCTGATTTGAAAAGGAGAAATTTAAAGGAAAAATTAAAAAGAAAAGGGAAGGGAAAATGAAAATGGAATGGAAAAAAGGGGGGAGGTGAAAGGGAAATGAAAAAGGAAAATAAAAAGATAAAAGGAAAAGGAAATGGAGGACAGGAAAAGGAAAGTGGAAATGTTAAGGAAAAAGGAAATAAAAAGGGAAAACAAACAAACAAAACAGGAAAAAGAGAAGTAAAAATACAAAAGAATAAATGAAAAGGGACAAGAGAAAAAACATGGAAAAGGAAAGGAAAGTTGCAGGTAATGGCAGCTGTTCAAAAAAATTAAGCATTCTGAGAGGCTTTCTCATCCCTTCTAAACTCAGACACTTGAAAGAACGAAGGTGGAGGACTTGATTTTACAGAAAAACAGAAGCTTCCATCTGCAGTCTATTTATGCAGTTTGTTGAGGGAGGTCTGGTTGAGTATTCAGGAAAAGACCCAGATTCAAACTCCCTGCATCTAAAACAGCAAATTTTTCAGCAACACCTCCAACACACCTGGATCAAAGTCTTACTGGTGTCTACCTGCGAGAGACAACCTGTAGCCAGAACCTCTCAGTTGGAGGCAACTTGTTTATATCTACCACAGTATCCTCTAGGTTTTGACGGACTCCTGACTATTCTGACATTCTAGCTGTATATTTCCCTCCCTCCCTCCATTTTATATCTATCAATCATTTTCATGCCAACGCAGCCATCCAAATCCACGACTGTCTGCTGTCATTTCATATTAGTGGGATTTCTACTCAGTCATTTTTATATAGCACTGTAGACTTGGCAACCAGAACTTTGACACTGACTCATGGTGAAACAAAGCACTATTAAGAACACCATCTGTAGTACGTTTGAGAAACTAAAATCATCATTTTAAAGACTACATTTGCTAGTTCATATTTTCTTGTATGAGCAAGTTTTATAGTGTATAATTTATACACTAACATTTAAAAGTTTGGGGTCAGTAGAAGACACACACAGTAGCTCTCTATCTCAGTCACACACACATACATTACACTCACACAACACACTGTAAAAGACTGTAAAAAATTCTACAGTAACAACCTGTTAATTGGTTAACAGTAAGTTTCCATACTATATACGGTGAATAAATGTAATTACATTTAATGTAATTTTACAGTAAAATACTGTTAGAAATACGGTTTTTGGAAGTGAAAAAGAAAAAGTCGTATATTATTGTATAATTTACAGTGAAAAAACGTAAATTGACACTCCCAGAATTCCCTGCATGACACTACACTGTTTTTTTGTTGTTGAAATAACATGTTTCTT